AAGACCAATCTGTCATCACTTCCCCTGCTATTTTCTATAACTGTCAGTACAGAAACAAATCCATTGGTCACACCTGGTTTGTGACACCTGGTATAGAAAGATATAATTAAATTGAAAACAAATACAAACATCTTCCTTCTGTTTCTTTACTACGGCTAGATTGTATTTTATGAAGATTTAAGGTGTTGTCTTCCTCATACCAACGAGGCTTTCCTATAGCTTTGTGCCACTGCAGAATCCTTCATTGTTCAACAATGAAGGATTCTGCAGTGGCACTTATTTCATGGACACTTAACTGTATGGTGTGACTATTTCACTCACCACTACTCATTCACTTGATTGCAATCACCGAAAGAGTCCTAAACAAAAGTGTTGGATACATAAAGATGAGAATGTGCATTAGGGATGTAAAGATGCACACATTAACACAGGCGTCACTCATAGAGCCATATGGGCTATAGCATAAATGAGGTGGATTTGTCAAAGAGCGTTTTTGAATGAATGTTACTGCTTCATTGAAAGCGTCTGCATTCATCAGCACTCTCTCTTTCTGCTCTGTGATGAGACAGCCATATGATTTCACTTATCCGTGGCTTGGTCTGGGAGCCTCCAGACTGGGATAGTGACGAACTAATAATCACCCTTTCCTGCAATACCCTCCTCCAAAGCTCCATCATTCTCTGTCTTTTAATTATTCTTCTTCCCTCTCAGTCACCACTCTGCTTGGTTGACTCCTTTTTCCTCTCACTTCATTACTCTGTTTATTTCTGTTTCACAATTTAACCTCTCCCTATCTCAAACACATACAAACGTATGTCTTTCCACTCCTTTTCACTTAATGCAAACATTTTTGATTGCACCTAATTTGTAATATCAATACCCACTCTTTCTTCTTTGTTTACATTTTTTGTAACTCGAGACTTGCTCACCTTTCCTTTTCCGGCCTATAGGGGAAACCCTGGCAGACTGTAGGAATGAGAATACAGGGTGTGCGTCCAATGGTTTATGTAGATAGGCTACTAAATTCCACATCCTGTTACACAATCCTGCAGATGGTGCTGTATGGGGGCTGTGTTTACCTCCAGAAAAAAACTGCTCATTTTTTACAAGGCAGACAGAAAGATGGAAAGACAAATAGAAGATGAAGGAAACAATGGAAGTCAGAAAGCAAGAACGAAAGAGGGAAACTGTATTCCACTGCAGAGAATCAAAATCCAGTACTTCTCAGTGACAAAGAGGTCATGCCTGTGGCTCGCTATGACTGGATACAACTGGTTCCAATATCTAGCTATACTAAAAGTTGAGTAGATGACTGCATGAAGTCAACAACATGGTGATGGCTTGTGACAGACATTAACAAGAGGTGGTGATGTAATCCACTTGAGGGTTTGTGGTGAAACTGCTGACGCCCTCGTTGATTGACTCTCTCTTCTGAGATAGCAGGCAGAGAGAGTCAAGAGGACTGAGGTGGTATGGTTAATGTGAAATAAAAGTTAATGACATACTGGGATGGAGTTCATTCTGGCGTTGAGTTCATGTGTATTAGCACTCACTCCATTTGAATCAATGTGCGTGATCAATAAGCCAGTGTCAGACTGTTTTAGATCAAGCTGGCTGGGGCTCAGTGCTCAGCCACAATCATGCAGTTCAGCCTGAGGCGTAAGGCCCAGTAAGGGCTTATTATTAGCTTTTGGGTTGGGCTGACCGCCACAGATCCTCCTGCTTTGGCTTCTTTGTAGCTGATAGTGATTATTTGGGCTTATTGATAAGCTAATGGTGAATCAGGGCTATGAGGGATTGTTTAGAGAGGATTACCGATTGAACTAGTGGGGATATAAAGGACCATGACGACACTAATGGTGATGCTGATGATGGGGCCATGCTAATCACTTCAGGATGGAGAGAAACACAGATGGAAGGTGAGTGAAAGAGAGGAATTTGAAAGAAGACAGAAAGGAAAAAAACAGAAAAAACATGCATAACTTAATTTAGTTTAGAGTAAGGTGACTAAAAGCTGGCATCAAAATGTAAGCTTTTTTTTTTTTTTGTTTTTACTTTAGTTTGAATCTCATTGAGAAAACAGTCAGAGGTGATCTTGATTGAAATAAGAGTAAAATCTTTATTTAAAACAGAACCTCCCTTCCAATCATAACACGGCACAATATCTAAACAAAGTAAACCCATAAAAGTCTAAAATTCGTATTTAAAAAGCAGCAACCGGTCATGAAGGATTAGCTTCTGGGCCTCAATCAATTATATAAGTACAAACTGTCTAACAGCTCAAATAACTTGAGTGGAGGAAAACACTTATAGTCATTATGACAGCACATCACAACACATTATTGGTACCAGTGGTGCTCATTTCTTGAGAGACTGCATTGCCATTTATTGGCCGATTACAAGATTTTTGTTTTTTTAGTCACACCACAGTTTTCCAGTGTATGTAACTTTGATGAGAAATTGATGAATGAAAGCCAAAAGCTCATCAGCTCAACGAAAGAGTGGCCTGACTACTCAAAGCAGAACACAGCTGTGCGACGCAGGCCGAGCTGAGATGCGGAGTGTATCAAACACAAGGTGGAGTGACTCGCTCAGATTACCACTCTTCTGGCTTTTCAAACAACACTGACAGATGCATACCCTCCGCACTTCCATTTGTCAGAGATCTATTCCTGCACTTAAAGCAGACTCTCTCTCTCTCTCTCTCTCACATGCACATGCTAAAACACACACATAACAGCTTACACTACCTTTGTCACCTCCACACATTGGTTATCTCCAAGGACACAAAACCCACAAGATCCCAACCCAATTCCACGCATGCAGCGTAAATGGAGCTGTAAGCAGGCATTAAGCCTGACAGGGAAAAAGGGAACAGAAAAAAATACCAATGCTGGAGAAAAGAAGGAGATGGATGGAGGGAAATAGGAAGAGCGGGAGGGGAAGGAGGGAAGAAACAGGAGGTGGATTTCTATTAACACACTCACTTTCATCTTTGCTTTACAACATACTTAGGCAGGGTTTTGCAGGGAAGGTACGCACTCTCTGGATGGTGCACACAAATGCTCCCCTCCTTACCCAGACAGAAAAGACACAATGACCCTCTGTACTTTCTGCACGAGGGGACACGCACAAAAAAAGTACTGCAGTCCCTGCCAGATTAAGAATGTCTTGGTTGGTAGCCAAAGTATCTGAAATAATACTCCACAGCTCACAATACTTTATGTAACTTCTTCTTTTTCATTTTTTTTAAATCAGAGATTAGAGGTGATTTCTTACACTGCTAATGCTTCAACCAGTCTGGTTGGTGTATCTGTAGTTTGGACTGGAAGCAAGCCAGGAAAGGAGCCATAGGCAGCACTGGGCACTAGTCCAGAATAGAAATATATAGCTGGGTACTTCAGAAATAGATACACATACATCTGACTTAAGCCTCCACTTGGATAATGTTTTAAATTCCATTACTGAAGCAGATGAGTCACATAATACATGGTTCCCATTTTTCCTTATTAAAAGGATTGAGCGTTACTTGAAAAATATTTTTTATTGATACACTGTTAGGCTGTTAGTCCTAGCATATTTTGAAGACTTCTCATAATCTTTACATGCATCCAATAAGTTTGTAAGTGATGATTGCAGACTGACTTTCAGCCATTTGGTCAGATATAAAATTTTTATAGAGGACAGAGAGCAGACTCTTTATGCGTTTACATGAAACCGTATATGTACACAGATAAAAGATGAATAAAGTTGGAGGCACACACATACATAAAAAAAACAAAACATGAGTGGTTCCCTTCCCCCAACTGATCAAAGAAAAACGCAAATGCAGTTTCTCTCTTTCCACTGGTGCATCTCAGTCTCAGTCTGCAGCTGTGCTGGAAGGCCCTTAATGCCAGGGCTGGTAGACTCATCTCCCTGTTCTCTTCATCTGTCTCATTCTCCAAATTTTCATGCACACTAGCTTACTGAGGAAACTCGGCTTAAGGCACAAGTCAAGAAACATGTTTTCATTCACTGCGGATTTTATTTGCCACAGGTTTACTGACAGCTACTGATAGTTGACAAGTAGACAACGGGCAAGAGAGCAACCAAATTCTGTGTGTGCAGATGTCTACATCCTGTAAATGACAGACTTTAGACTTTATTTTGCTCTGACTTTTAGCTCTATTTCATTATTTTGGATTCCAAGACACACAATTTAGAGTAACTGTCTCCAGCTTTAAAGGACTAAAGCTTTGTGAATATCTCTGATCCTCACATGACAATTAAAATCGCAAACCAGATAAAAGACATGAATTACACAAAAGTGTGAATCTCCATAAAAACCTGGCTGCTACATGTAAATTCAAAAATCAATTCTTCTCTTTGGGAGCAGCCAGTCATGGACATAAACCGCAGATACTTTACTATGACAGTATGAAAAAACAAAGAATACTAACATACTAAAAAAATTCATCCATCATCCATCCATAGAATTTAAAAA